GATGCCCGGGAGTCAGCGGGCAGACGCATGGTTAGATCAGCCGCACGATGCTTCCAAGAGGCCCGGCCATATCTGTGGGCTGACCACATTTACTCGCCATCGTCCACAACACCTGGAGGGGCCCTGACGCCATTTGCTATCGCGCGTGACGTGTTCCGGGCTTTTTTTGGTTCTGACCACCCTGGTTGCGAAAATGGTCAGATGCTATCAATGCTATCACCGAGCATTTCAGGCCACGGTTACCTGTCAGCACTTCGTGACGTGAATATTGATCTGGTCCCCAATCTAGGTGCGGATCGCACATGTGCAGACACCCCCACGGGGCTGTTGACAGCCCCACTGGGATCTAGATCCCCGTCTCCGAGCTCGGTCAGTCATTATTCTCGATCGGTCAGTGGCGGAAGCAGTCATACTCCGCCACCAAATCAGCCTGGGAACTTACCCGATCCACCTGATGGGCTGAATGTTCCTATCCCACCCTCCTCGACCATCTTGATTGATACGGTTCTTCGTGAACTGGAGTATCCTTCTGACAGTCGTGCGCCCGCAGGCCTAGGCCTGTTAGGACATTCGGTCCAGCTCACGCCGGTTGACGTGCAAAACAATCTGGAGCAGTACCGGTACCATGCAACCGGGCCGGCAGCAGTTGTATATCATTATGACGTGCCGCCGACGATCTATCAGTTGCCGCTACTTCGTGCCGAGCGTCAGTTCATGACCGCTATTGTAGCTACGAACTGTGACTGTTGGTATGCCGTTTATGAAGCAGGCTTGTTGTGTATTCTCGAGCCAAAAGACATTTTGCCATGGCTGGGGAAGAAGTTGGTAGTATATGGTGAGCAGAAATATTGGCACCAAGCAAAATGCGGGAATTTCCCCAAGTACGTTGAGTAAAAAAGCCTTTCTAGTCGAGTTTTGTGGGTTTACTTTCTCCTTTTTGGCTTTCTTTTTTTGGTTTTTTCCCGCCTCTACCTCCAAATCAACTGTACTACAAACTATTATAGTGGAAGATTGTATCGCGGAAAGTTATTAACCCTCTGGGAAAAGGTTCTTATGGACTTTTTCTACTGTAATCAGTACACTAATGTTTGACTGTTATTTGTGAATATTGCCAAGACATCAGACAGGCTTTTGGTCCAGGATTATATTGGTCTGCTAGAATAAACTAACTATGACTCCATAGTGTCCGGACTAGAAAAGGCCATGAGTGTGTGTGGCCTTGTTAATAGATACTAGATGGCTTCCGCGGCTGCGTTTCTGTAGATTGCATACCATAGTGTGGGAAGGTGGAGCCGACGTACTTGATGGCCAAGGAAATTATTGATACCGCATTGAGGATAAGATAAAGCAATAGATCCATCTGTACCTAGACACCCTCTCTGTAAAACTTATGTGTGCAGGTGTTGCTCTAGATACGGATCTTCATAGAGGACCGGTCCCACCGGTCCCACCTGTCGCGCCTAACCCCTACTATCTTTGAGCGTCCTATTTTATAACATCAGGAAAACAACCCCTCTATTTACAGTCACACGAATATGGATGTGGTAATTATTATTCGGGCGTTATGAAGCTGGATACAACGTAGTTAGATGTACATAGACAACAGGGTTATGAGCAGTCTTCGTTGGGTCCCTGTCAGCGAAGACAACAAACTGCTGGGCCTGGCTAAGGAGCAGGCCAGAGCCGCGACACAAGAAGATGCTCTCCCGCAAGAACGCGTCCCGAGAATGAAGTCAAAAACACTGAATATCACACGGTCCCAAACAGTACCCAGCAATGACCTGCCAGTGAACGTAGGGAGACACGCAAAACGAGTTGATGCAGCACTCCCAGGCAAACACACCCGGCAGCTGTATGACCGATTATCGTGGAAAGAAGCGAGCGTGCTGGCTCAACTCCGAACCGGCATGGCAAGACTCAATGGACATCTCTATCGAATCAACGTAGCAGACACGGACCAGTGTGCGTGTGGACAAGCGAGAGAGACCGTGGAGTACTTCCTATTTCGATGTCAAAAATGGACGGCGCACCGGACGGAACTACTACAATGTACCAGCACCCACCGAGGAATTATATCCTTCTTCCTAGGAGGGAAATCGCCTTCCAATGATCAGAAGTGGACACCGAACTTAGAGGTGGTACGGGCCTCAATACGATTCACCATCGCCACGGGCCGACTCGAGGCCACCTAACCATGCCGACGAACATAAATCAACCCCCACCCTTTCGCCGGTCTAGCCCGCCAACCACCTCGTGTTACAGATGGTAGACGCGCTTCAACTGCCGAAAATAGGATGTTGAACACTTGGAGAAGCGCTTTCAAGCCAACCTACTAACAAAATTACTAGCCCACGAGGATCCGCACATCTGAGATGACATTTATTGCAAGGCTCTATGTATGGGCTCTGAAGAGACATAGTACTATATATATTATGACATGTATAGTAGATCAGAGATAATTTCCCTCTCGGCTTAGCCGCCGGGCGTTAATAGATTTTTTGTGTGTGTGTGTGTGTGTGTGTATTGGAAGTAGCTTTAAGCTTTTCCAGAATACAGATGTGATTGTGGCAGCTTTTTACGAAACATCCATGATGCCAGCTTACAAGGAGATGAAATCTATTCTATCTCATTGATTGAGGTGAAGTTTAATGCTAACTACGATAGATATGAATGTCCCTTTCCAATTGCGATATGAGTGAGATGGAGTTGATTGTCTTTATCAAACAGCCATAGCTATAGGTGGTATGCTATTATTACAAAGATAAATACCCCGCTTCCCCTCCCATTCATTTAAGCTTATCTTGGAACTTTCCATTGTTGCCCAAAATACGGAGACAATTGCGAATCTAAACAGACAATGTACCCGATCGAGTCCCAGCAAACAATCAGATAATACCAGGTGGCTATATTAATCACCACATTATTCTCTTAAGTTCTTTGACAATTGCTCCTCGAAGTCACGCATCGCCTGTTCCTCTTCCTCCTCGGTCCTATCCCCTCTAATCTCCAGATCTGCAGTCGAATAAACCATGTGGGAATCTTGGGCAGCCTTTTTCTTGAGAGTGGAATCTTGCGCGTTCGAATTGAGCTGGAATTTGTACCGTCGATATTCCTTCCCAGCTTTCTTGATGATTTCTCCAACGTCGATGCGGCTTCCGATTCTCGCATCATGGTTTCCCCCACGCGCTGGGGCAGCTCGGTGACCGGGCTCGCCTTGGCCATGCAAAATCGTAGTGCGGCGGCTTTTCGACTGCTTGATATAGGTCATGAGAGCCTCAAGCGACTTTTTGGTCTTGGAAGGCATGATAATACAATGAGGGCTTGTGCAGGTGAGTGTAGGATATGGATGCTGCTCGGGGAATCTTGTCAGTATCATGACAGAAGCGGAGAATAAACACTCACTTGGAGCTGTTGGATTGCTGTGGGATGAAGTCTGTCCTGTCATTCTTA